TAAGGAAAAATAATAAAACCTTGGGATGTACTCATATATGCCTATATAGGCTATTTTGAGGGTATTTTGCATATTTAAAAATACAGGAAAAAATTGGGTATCAACAGTAACAGATTGAAAGGTTTAGATAAAAGTATGATACATAGAAAAAGTGATGGGATTTCTTAACATTTATCGAATCAAAACCATGAAAGTTGAGAAAATTACCATCAAGTCAGCGGTTGAATTATCATTTTCTGAAATTTTAACCCAGCTAGAAGTTGAAGATGACCCTGTCTCGGACGAACCCACTTTCGGACCGTGGAGAGTGAGGCACACGTGCCTCTCTCCCAATGTCCATTTGAGCTAAATTAAATATAAATTCATTCTGAAAGTTATTTTTGATCGATAACTTGAACCAAATACTAGTAGTCTAGTAATAAGGTTTATACAAGGAACGGTTAGAAAATTAAAAGTATATATATATGTATTATGTAATCTGATGCTGATTAACTTTTTGTTTTGCATAAAATATAAGAGAATTAGATTACTTAAGATGAGGGCCTATGAATTTAATACGCAAAATCTCAAGAACTAAACCTGTAATAAATGTAGTTAAAGCCTTAATTAGGGGTCGTTTGTTTTGGAATAAGGGATTATAATCTCGAAATTAAATTCAAAATTAGCTTCTATCACATTTGGTAGAATTTCTTATTTTAGGAATAGTAATTTTATTATACTAATTGTAATATTATATTTATCTCACGCTTCATGTGGGGTAATAATTTTGGGATTACTAATCCTTGGACTTGTTTATCCGTAAAACGGTATAATTGAATTTGTATCGTAGTTTATAGACACGTGGTTAAATTGATCCGATAAAATAAAGTAAAGAATAGCAAAAGCGAATTAAATAAGAACAATTGAGGAAAATGCAAGCCTGGGCTTTAGAATATTCCCACCGGAATCAACAATAAATGGAAATCTGAATAGCACTTGTATAAAGCTTGAGATAGAGAATACTAGTCTTTTTCTATTAGTATTTTCTTGATGTTTTACAATAGAATGAAAGCATCTATTTATAATAGAGTTATGGGGTGTATGATCTACCAATTGTTTACCAATATTAATGCTACAACAAAAGGTAATAAAGGGAAGTAAAGCCTAATAAAGACGGGAGGAATCTTGGGTTCTTCTGTAACGTCTCTGCAACGGTCATATCTTGAATTACTTCTTATCCGGCCACAGATTTGTATCCGATGTCAACATCTTATTAGGCTACAAGTCTGTATTCGGTGTGAACATGATTGAATCACTGCTGATTGACACACGTTGCTTTCTAATTCACTCATTTTCTGAGACCGATTTATACCGTATACAAGACTAAACACCAAAATGATGCACTTGCTCTCCTCCAAAACTCTTATTGCAAAGTACTTTATGAAATTCAAGCTTAAAATTGAAAATAAAAAGTTATCCTACTTTATCTAGTTTAAACAAAAGCATATTTTATATTATATCCGTATATCTCTTTATTCTAATAAATTAAATATCTACTTATAATATAAAATATATCCATTAAATAATTTATTATTATTAATCTTACTATTATAATCTCATCATTATTAATTCCGGAATAATTTATTCACCAACAAGGGAGGAGTCAGAGTGGGAGATATAGATTCGATTGAACCCAATAACTTTTGTTCTGACCATTGAATATGTACAAAACAGTAACTTAAAATGATTGCAATCCCAAACCCATAAGATTCAAATCTTGACTCCGCCTCTATTCACAAATCAAATAAGGTAGCTCGCTTGGTGTGAGGTACCCACCTATAATATCTCATTCCCTAAGTACTAAATAGTATAGTAATATATGTTTAATTTAAAAAATAAGAACCTTTAACAACTTGCCTCATTCTCAAACGTAAAGGGGACGCCCTATGTGACCGTCTCCATTTAAAATATACCCATATTTTTAAAATTGTATAACCTACCCTAATTTTTACAACTTCATATCAGTGGTCGCCTCCTCTTCTTCTTGCGACCTGTGCGCTCCTTTCTTCCTCCAATTCTTTTCTTCCTCTTCTTTTTCTTTTTTTCTCTCAAACACATGAGACTCTGTGTAATTATTATTGATTGAATATGAAATACACAGTTTTGCATTAAGTACGTTGTATGATGCCCATGTCGTGATCAAAGCCAAATTTTTCCTCTGCGCATTGGAGGAGGCGCTGAAACTCAGGGCGAGATTAAGAAATTGATACGATGCATTGAGTTCGATTCTGTCCCACTTGGGGACATTTTATCTATCTTTTCTTGAAGAAGAAGAAGAAGAAACTAACACTACTAGAATTTCGGAAAAAAGCAACCAGCAAAAACGACCAACGTTGGTCGCTTATTGGCCAAAAAGCGACCAAAAAGCGACCAACCACGCCTGGTCGATATTAAGCTGGTCCCTTTACCTTAGGGACCAAAGTTGGTCTCCCAGGTAAAAGGACCAAATTTTCCGGGTAAAGCATATAGCGACCAACTTTGGTCGCTCAAATATTTTAATATTATATATTTGGCGACCAAAGTTGGTCTCCAGATGTAAATAACGTTTTATTTTTGTTTATTTTAATCATATTAAGCGACCAACTTTGGTCTCTATATTAATAAATGTTATAATTTTTTATTTATTGGGCGACCAATATTGGTCGCCAATGGAAAGAATTAATTTTTTTTTTAACTATAAGCGACCAACCTTGGTCGCAAAATTAGCAATTTTTTTAAGTGAATAGCGACCAACTGGACATCAAAGTTGGTCGCTTTTTTGGTATATTTTTGGCAGAAACTGCCTGTTTTGGCTGCTACACCACCTGCCAGCTTATACCAAATATCCTAAACAGGCATTTTATGCCAGCAACAACAACAACAACACTAAAACGCAACAAAATATAAAGATCAATAGAACTAAAACATTAAGCTAACAAAACTAAGTTAACGTTTATTACAAGCTCATTCGAAAACTAGTTCTATTGTCTAGTTCAAAGCATATAAAGTACTCAAGGAGTGTTCTTTTAGCATCTTCGTTCGAAAGTTGGATTGCCTCGGCCGACTCATTAGGTGGCTGACTTCGTATGAATTCCCCCACATCAGCTCTGAAGCGAACCTATAAGAAAAATTATATTGAATTAATATTTCAAAATTTATATAAAAGTAAATCAAAATACTTAATGATAAGTAAAAAACTTATATGTATAGTCGAGACTCGACCCTCGACCCACCTTTCTGAATCAGTCTCTTTCTTCTTCTTTACAATACGAGTTTGATTGAATAGCTCATCTTGCTTCATTGGCATCATAAAGCTGTCCGGTGGCTTTGGTGATTATCCTCATGGTACTATTACTCGGGATGAACTTGGATACAGAGAATAACTTGGATACAGTAGCTGACAGGGTGTGTCTTTTGA